GTTGTGCACTTGTATAAAGGACATGCATTTAATATTCGTCTCAGCACTACGTTTTCCAGTACAACAGAAAAAAAAAGAAACGGAAAAGAAAGTGGTAGAAAAGAAAAGAAACACAAATGAATGAAAGTGAATAAAAAACAAAACAGGAGAGAGGTGAAAAATTAGAGTGTCAATTAAGAATGATTAAGACGGCGCTTATAAGTTTGTGGACAGCGTACAGTTACTGTAGATTATTGCGCCAAGATACTGTAGTCGTGCAAATAACCTTAGCTTATGTACACTATGTATCTCCTATTTGATAAAGGGTAATTATATGCATTGGCACAGGCTTCTGTTTCCCGTCTGCTGCAGAAGTTTGCTATAGATTAATATAAGAAAGATGAATAATTAATTTTATGTATAAATCCATATTTTTGTAATGTGTACCATCCAGCAAAACAAATTCCTATTCTAGCTTTAAAATAGTATCTTCCTATATAAATAATAGAATAACCATTATTTAGAGGGCGTTCTAATTTTTTTTCATTCATTTCATTTCCCAATACACATTTACGAGGTACAGTACAACAATTCCATAACATTAACAGAAATATCGAAATTTACTGCTATATAATCCGGGATAAAAACTTCTCAGCATTAGGCCTACGCAGTGGTGGTGCCAGCGGGGGATGGGATGGGGAGCTGGGGGAGGGGGATTTGCCCTCCCGTCGGACAGTTCTGGACTTCTTTCTTTCCTACCCCCTGTCGTCAGACGCCACGACGAGGTCGTTGGACCATAGAGAAAATAGAACACTATGGTTGGACCAAAGATATTTCCGATGTGGTTATATAATAGGCCTTATTATGTATTGTTTGTTTTTATTTATTTATTTATATCTATAACACTATATTACACATCATGGGCCTATGATATAGGCCTAGCTAGGACCTGATTGTTTTAGATAATTTGTGACATTTTCTATTTTTTTCTTCTTTTTTTTTGTATTTACATATGTATTTTATGCCAATGGCCAAATGATTTTCATGAGGATAAATAAATTGCATTTTAAATCTTGAAAATAATGCATTTGAAAAAAAAAGTTGGATCACCACAAGACGCAAGTTGGCGCTATTTAATGCGAGTTGACAGCAAACTACTCGCTCGAGTAGACGTCCACCTGGGAAAAAAGATACAAAAGGTGAAGTGAAGCGTTAATTTTGTTGTAATTAAATAAACCAAACTTAGCTGTGTACAGTATAATAAATAGTTACTAAGGTGTCTTTGTCACAAGCTTGAATGGTTTAATTAAGGTAAATGTGCGGTAAAGGTCAATTTTATGGAATTTTTTGTGATGATTGATATAAGATGAGGACCTAGTCTCCTAGAGGCCTAACTATATGTAGGCCTATAGAAAGATAAGACACATTCACTGCAGGAGGAATCGGATAAATCAATGAGTGAGGAGCACCTTCCTGGTTAAGAGCAGAGTTATTAGCCCTGCTGACTAACAACTAGACCTAGGCCTAGCCTCGTATGTATTTTATGTTTCTGTTACTTGAATGACACGGTATGACTTCCTTGGGCCTAGAGCTACAGACAGCACGTTGCACATTCAACCTTCATCCATGATTACATTTAACCTTTTTTTTGTTTGCACCACCTATAAATATATATATATGGTTGCACCATAACAACTCCCTGGTTGCACCTAAAACACCAAGGCAATATACAGTAGCTAATGTGGCTGCAAGTAAATAAAGAAGTCGGTGACTTGTTTACATTTTCCACTCATGATTTAAATAAGAATTAATCAGTCATGCGAACAATTATTTATTTTACTGACCTGGAGTAACATAGCCTAGAGTTATGAATTATAATAATTGCCATAAAAATTGATTTCTGTTAGATTATGAATTTCAGGTCTAGAAAAGTTTCAATGGACAAGACAGCTGAGTAGTACAGAGTAGTACAGTTTGACTCTGTTGTTTGTTGCATAAACTGAAAGTTGATTCTTATCACCTACAGCACATAATGTCTGAGAAAGTGCGCCAGAGAAGAAGCTCACGTTTACAACAACGAAAATCATCTGATGACAAAGATGATGTAACTAGTAACAACAGAGGAGACGCTCCAGATGGCATTAATCACGATTCCTCAACAACTACCGCCACCAAAGACAAGCATTCCGAAGAAGAGTCATTCCAGACCGATCAATCAGAAGATGAAACGTTAGAAGATGAAGCGGTTACTGCAGATGTTTTGACATGGTTTCTGAAGACACTGAGCTTAGTTGTTGGTACTGCTTTGGTGATTCTTATTGGTTATCATTACAGCCTGTACATTTGGACGTTGCATGAGAACAGGCTTTGGTTTTCAAAGATAATGGTGAGTTGAATCATAAGTTTAACATCAGGAAGCATATCACTAACTGAGATAGAAATATTTGACCAGATGAGTAATACTAGCAATTAATATACAAACACATACAATGAATGTAATTTTTCAGTATTTATTATTTTTTTTTATTTCATCAATGTTAAAGGAGGGTAACCCTTCCAGCTTCCTTGAAGGGAAGCTGATATTCAGGGGCCCTTTTTAGTAAAAAATTATATTTTAATCCAAAAAAAAAAAAAAAATAAGTAGAAGAAGACTAAATATATACTATGAAAAATTAGTGAAAATCCTAATTATAATACATTAAATAAATACTAATAACAACAATATTATCATAAAATACAATAAACTATACAGAAGAAGATGTTATTGTATGTAATACTCTATATTCCACAGGTACACAATTTTCCGTGGCTTAATAGAAATATTGAATGGGTGTCGGGCCATGGCGGTAAATAAAGCAATATGAGGAGGTTTTTAACTACAGTAACTACAGTACAGTACAATACTTACAAATTTGTTTAGTGTGGCAGTCAAAGAGAGTTGTTTATTCAGGAGAGCCACTTATTAGATCATCTACCGTACTGTAATAATCTGGGTTAATGCTTTTGTAATATGTGGCAAAGACAAGCCAAACCAGTCACTCGTCGCAAAAATCGATTTTGAGTTATTAATACAGTGTTAGAGAGTAAAATAATAGCTATAAAATGGTAAAAAAAATCATTCAAATCGGACATTTCCTTATGAAGTTACAAGTGTTTAACCACACAGCTGTTTAAAGAACAGTATATGAGAAATTAGCTGTCAAAGTTTATGATTTCAGGCATTTCTCATGCAGAAACTATCTTTAAATCCTTAAAAAGTATTGTTTTAACATTGAAAATGGGGAAAATAACAGCATAGAATGATGTGTAGATATATAAAGTTAAGAGACAGGATATATAAAGGTTAGTTTAGTGCAATAAAATAGATTTTTAAAAATTTGACATTCCAGCATGTTTTGGCCATTTTCTCTGAAACACGATTTGCGACGAGTGACTGGTTTGGCTTGTCTTTGCTACATATACTTATCAATAAAATTCAATATTTGAACTGTTGACATTGTATACATTTCAGGTATTACATTGTTTGAGAAATTTAGCCCAACGATAATTAGAACATGAATGATACAATTTAGTGGCTGATTGGCCTATTGGTCATGGATTGAATGTGGCTGGACTGGAATATGGTGACTTTTTACTGTAGATAAGAAGTATAATTTAGTCAATTAAACACTGAACAAAAAATAATTTTATTTTATTTCATCACACATCCAAACAGTGGATAGCCCACCACTAATGGAATGACAATCGAATATTAAACCACATTCAAATAAATGCATCAGATGTGCTCAGTGTGGTCTTGAATAGTCTCTAGTAATACCCCAAAATGCGCGCTCTCACATATAGTCGCCAGCACCCTTCCCTTTAGTAATACTAGAACAGTAACTATATGAAACACAATCTGTCCTCTGGTTCTTATATACTTGGTTCAGTATGTTACCTTGGCTTGAAGGACTTGTTTTATACTTTAAGGAATTTCTTAATAAAAAGCCTGTAATTCTTCAGCAAAATCTGAATTCCTTGTTTGGACTCTATGCAGATATTATTTCTGATGACGATTGAAACAACTCAATCGAAACATCGAGACATTTTATATGGTGTCTTTTTACTGTCATAGATGAGAAGTATAATTTAGTCAATTAAACACTGAACGAGAAATTTTATTTTATTTCATCACACATCCAAACAGTGGATAGCCCACCACTAATGGAATGACAATCGAATATTAAACCACATTCAAATAAATGCATCAGATGTGCTCAGTGTGGTCTTGAATAGTCTCTAGTAATACCCCAAAATGCGCGCTCTCACATATAGTCGCCAGCACCCTTCCCTTTAGTAATACTAGAACAGTAACTATATGAAACACAATCTGTCCTCTGGTTCTTATATACTTGGTTCAGTATGTTACCTTGGCTTGAAGGACTTGTTTTATACTTTAAGGAATTTCTTAATAAAAAGCCTGTAATTCTTCAGCAAAATCTGAATTCCTTGTTTGGACTCTATGCAGATATTATTTCTGATGACGATTGAAACAACTCAATCGAAACATCGAGACATTTTTGGCAAAACAACAGTTCTTTTCAATTATACAAATAAAAGTCATTCTTTTAATCTCATTGGAACTTTTAATTGAGCAATTCAATGTTGAATATTCTTCCTAGATTTTAACGATGTAGACCCCTAGTTTGAAGGGCCAAAATTATTTTTAGATTTGATGTCACAGGCCAAAGTTTCTAGTATCTTGCTACATAACTAAAGGTAAAATTCTGAGATGTTGTGGCCGATGGCCCTTGTCTGCCACATAGACATTTGACGTTTTTTTGGCAATTTTAAATTCTATTCTATTTTCAATTGTACTATAGCTCAATATTAGGACACTAAATTCATTACAATTTTTCACCATTATATGATATAATAAAGCAGTACTTTGAATGCGGCATATGAAAAAATATTTTTCAGGGTTGTTGGACGTTTAATATTGTTGGTGACTGGTGGTAATAGAACTTGTCATGTCTTCCTTTCTTTGTGCAAGTATAACTGTGGGTGAAGTACCCTGAATGAATGAGTGCCTGAATTGGTCTTTTTTTTCCCTATCAACGTAAAACTAGATATTTTTTTTCTATTTTAGTATTATATTGACCTTGCTTCTTATGCCTAACCAAATATTGTTCCCTGCTCGGATGTCATCCATAAAACAACTCCCTGGTAAAAGTAATCCTGTAGGAGTATTTTTAAACCAAACGTGAAGTTAAAATTAAAAGTGTGGCAGAGAATCAGTATTTTGTGTGTGATTTCACCTATCCTATATCCACCAAATATCAGGGCTTTAAAGCCTCAAAACATTTCGCCTGTATAATCTCGGGTCTACTCATAATAAAAAAAAGTCTCTGATAAAGTTTTTATTTTAAATTTGCTGTGTCATATTTAGCTGAACTAGGACTACCAATCTTTTGGCTTTTGTCGATTGGATGGTAACAGATTTAATTCTAGATCTGGGTAGGGTCAACCCTACTTCACATTGGCCCAGTGTTGTGTTTTGGCCTTCACTTCATTGACAAAATTTTCATTCAATGGTTATTAATTTTAGTTTCTTTAAATATATTTGAAAAAAAATTTGACTTGCGGGCTGCCTTTTAAGAACCAGGGATGTAGACAATACTTCTGTAGACTGCAATTTATTTGACTAGTACTTCCGACACAATATACTGATATTACAGTGACTCGGGCAGGATTTTACTACTAAAAATGACTTATTATACCAATCAGCATTTGATAATTGGCCAAGTCCTTTCACGCAGGTGAAAGGTCGCAAAGAGGCTTATGTATTGCCTTGTTATTGGACCACAGGGAGTAAGAACAGGACAACTGAACATTTCTTATATTCATATTACTTTTGTTCATTTTAAATTACGTCAACCATTTCTTTACATTTTTCTGTTACTATAGTAAATAATGATACTTCCTTGGTAAGAGGGTGATATAAACACTTAAAGTTACATAAAATGATTAAACAGATTTAGACTCAAATAGAATTATAATCAATATTGTTATACATTTATCATTATTATTAATAATGTTAAAAATAATGAACAGAATGTACAGGAAGTCAACAAGAATCATAATCATGAAATTAATAGTACCGTACTCGCGCAAATAAGCGCCCCTCTCGAATAAGCGTATAATTTGAATACATATAATATCATCAGTCTTCCTTTTTAGCAAGTTAGTAATCCAATTAATCATGAGACTGTGGTTGTTGACATGATTTGAGCTGCAGAGTGGATCACATTCTTCCGGGTCAATATCAAAACAAGGATATTTCTCTTGGACAAAATGAGAGCTCTGATCCCTGGGCAGACTGTATTTTTCCAACTTTCCTCTTCTTACATATTTGACTAGGCTTAGTCCTACACCTCTTTTTCTTTTTTTGTTAATTTGCACCTTTAACACATTCTCATCTAAGTTTTTAAGAAAACCTGCAATGATCCTGCCATCCTGCTAGTCTCAATCAGCCGATGGCTAAGCTAAGCACTACCCACCACCACTAATTGCATCTGCTATTCTGCTGTTATGTAAATATCCACAGCATTCTTGTCATGAGCCATTTTCTCTGGACGATTGTCTTTTCCGTTGCACCACCATTTGTAATGTCCAATATATAATTTTTTTTCATTCAAAAAGTGCCTCTTGAATTTAATAAGTTCCCATTAGTACCCCTCGATCTTGATCTATTTCTAAAAGCACCCCTCAATTTACACTGTTTTTTATAAGCGTCCCGTTTCAATAAGCACCCCATTTGAATAAGCGCCCCTCAAAAAGTGTAAAAAAATATTTTAAGTGCCTGGGGGGTTATTCGCGCGACTACAGTAATTTAAATACTATGAACAGTTTTAATTTAAGTCACAAAGAATCGCAATCATTATTTTAGATTAATCAGACTTATAATAATAAGTAACTTTTATTAATGTATTATAATAACTCAAATACAACCATATTTCAATATGATAGATTAATCTTAAAATTTAATAATAAATGATGTTATAAAATAAATGATTAATAGATGTTAACGTAAGTCATTAATAATAAATGTATCAATATTATTTATAACTCTAGTTTTAAAAATTTTGCAGTCTAATAGACAAATAGTGTTTTTTTTTTTCTCCATGACCGGGGAAGGGGGTCAGGCCCTGGTGCCACCCCTGCCCCAGCTTGCACTATTGACGTTCTGTGAAGTGGCTCATGAAGCTTCAGCCCAAATACATGTAAAGTGGCTGCATCTAATCAATAATGACTGGTAATATCAGACCATAAAACAAAGATATAACATTCAAGCAAAATTAAACTTGCTGTTAAAATTAAAACAAAATGGACTATTCATATATTGAA